AGGGGCATGTTTAATGATTTCATGAAAAGGGGACAATTATCGAAAGGGATAAGACACTTATTAGAAAAGAAAAGGAGCACGTGTCAAAGTACAAAGGATAATTATAAGAGGTGAACATGAGGCATTTTTTTCACCTGAAAAGAGGCACTCACCTGATGAAAAAGAGGCGTTTACGAAAATGGGAAATAGGCATTTGTTGACGGAAAAAGGGCACCCATCAGATTTTGATAGGGGAGAAGGGGAGGGAGCTTTTTCTTTTTAATGGGGGCACTTATCATAAGGAAAAGGGGCACTTATTAGAAAGGGAAAGCGGTAGTTATGAGAAGGGGAAGGAGCTCTCTCTTTTTAATGGGGGCACTTATCATAAGGAAAAGGGGCACTTATTAGAAAGGGAAAGCGGTAGTTATGAGAAGGGGAAGGAGCTCTCTCTTTTTAATGGGGGCACTTATCATAAGGAAAAGGGGCACTTATTAGAAGAAAAAAAGGGGCACATGTTAAAATTAAAGGTGTGCTCATCCGAGTTTAAAAAAGGGGTAGTTATTAAAAGGAGAAGGGGCACTTCTTACAAAGGAAAAAAGGGGCAGTTGTCAAAGTAAAAGGAGCACCTCTCAGTTTTGAATAGGGCAATTATCAGAAGTGAAGGGGGCACTTATCAAAAGTGAAAAGGGGCACCTCTCGTACCTGAAAAGAGGCACTTACTAGAGATTAAAAAGGGCACTTATTAAAGATAATTTCAAGATTTATGAGAATGGAAAATGGACACTTATTGCAAAGGAAAATGGGAACATGTCGAAGGAAAAGGGGCACGTGTCAAAAATAAAAAGGGCACTCGTCAGAGGTGAAAAGGGGGAAGGGGCACTTTTATTTAGTAATAGGGGCACTTGTCAAAGTAAAAGGGGCACTTTTCCTATGTAAAAGGGGCACTTCTTACAAAATAAAAGGGGCACTTTTCCTATGTAAAAAGGGGCACTTTTGGGGTATCTGAAAAAGTGGGGGGGCACTGTGCCCCCCCCTGCCCCCCCGGGAGAACCGCCTCTGAGTAAAATCATGTTATAAAACATAATTTATGAAACAAATAAAACATAATCTTATAAAACAAAATAATACACATAATTTTGTTCGGGCATTATAATAACCCACACTTGATACCTCCAAAACAATCCAAACACCCTCGGCTACCGCCTCTGGTGTGTTAGACTGTTCCAAAGGTAATTCTTACCAATACCTTTACTGCTGTGTATTATTTGTATATTAATTACTTTTTCCAGGGCCCATGATAAATTTCGTTTAACAGCTGTTGATTCCCCTCGGTTGATTCTTTTGTTCGGATTATTTGCGGCGAGAGAAAGAAGTGAACGGTCTCACGCTTAACGATGTTCAAGTATTTCTATTCTTGTTTGTTTATCGTCTCTACAATGCTCTTTGAATAATAAAAAAACAGTTTTTATTGTTAGGCTTCCTGAAAGAAATTTCAATTGTTTGTTGTTAAGAAATATTTGGTTACACCCTGTAGATCATGATGATGTGTTTGATCTTGTTTTCAATAACAAGACCAAACACAATGATAATATGCTACTGCATGGGGTGCAAGCCAATAAGTCCTTTACAACAAGAAACACAAATGAGGTGCTATTCGATGGGGCGTACACATGGCAATCACATGGTATAGATAAAATAGGATCATCAGTACTGGGTCTAATAAACTTTAAAAAAAAAAACAACTGAATTTTAACCCGGGCCATAATAGGCTACCCTGCACCTAAATCCTATTACAAATTTGCACGCAGTGCTTGAGAGCCCTTTCTATGTCCCTTCCTCTACAGTAATGAGACACACATTTGGAGAAACTTTTGAATAGCCACAAAGTCTACGCCAGAAGCTGCACAATCGAGTAGGCCCCAGGGGTGGATCTAGAGGGGGGGGGGGTTCGGCGGCTTAAACTCCCCCCTTGGGCGACCAAGTGGGGGGGGGGAGTAAAACGTTTTTTTTAAATTGAAATATCGGGGGCAATTTTTGTTTTGTTTTAATGCTCACTACATCCCCCCTCCACCCCCTACTGAGCGAAATATTTGTTGGCGCGATTTGCATCCCCCCCCCCCCCCCCCCACTGAGCAAAATATCAGTCGGCTCGAAAATATAGAATTCACAAACAGTAGCGGTTCTAGAGAGAGAGGGGGGAGGGGCTTGGGGAACCCATACACACAATTGTTCAAGCTCCCCCAATAGAACCGATCCTGATCACAAAGTATTTATATTTATTTTAAAAAAAAAACTGTTTTCCCCCCTCATGATTTAGTTATTTATTTATTTAAAATGGTTTATTTCATTAAAAAACATTCGCGGCCCGAGAGCCGAATTGCAGTTTCTGTTACAAGGTGTACATCAGTGACAAAGTAAAATTACACGTAAAACTATATGCATGGTAGTAAAATTGGAATTCTGTTGTTTTTGGTTTCCAACGACCTTGGCAAATTGCTTGGTACATATACAGAAATTCGAATTGTATTACCATATTTGCAATAAGATGATATATTAAACTTATACAATACATGAATAGCAATACATTTTTGATATTCAAAAGAATTAAATGTTTTGGTTGAAAAAATGCATAGCCAGATGGGTAAGGTATAGTTGTGGTGTTTTGTTCAATAACAGGGACAACAACAGAAACCAAATCCAGGAATTATAAAGTCAAATAGATGCTCCAATGATTTAAAGATTGTGTTTGTTTACTAATGTTACCATTTTGGTTGAAAGGGATCGTTTTACAATGTTAAATCTGAGATACACAACCTAGGAGCTATCATTGTCTGTGATATGGTGTAATATTGGAGCCCTAAATAATGCGCTGAAAAATGATCGAGAAGTGCCTCAAAATTAAAGTAAAAATCTTTGAGTTACGGTTTTAACCATACTCGTTTTCCCCAATAGACTGTAGTGTTATGAAAACCGTTAGGCAAACGCAACATTTGGTTTCGATTTCCAATCATAAATATCTTGATAATCAGACAGGTGATCGGCTTGTAAAAGTCGATCGATCGATTTTTATTCGACAAGCTTCCAACATACAACAATATACAATAATAACAGATCAAAAATAAGTCAGCTTGAACAGGATAACCCACGAAAGCTCGAGAGCTTATTTCCAGTGGGGTTCCTGACTGACCTAAAGCTTTATAGTTATCATTGCAGCATGAGCTAAATCCATAATTTTGTTTCAGAATCTGAGACAAAGTTACCGGATCCCTTTAAAAGATTGTTTGACTTTCATATTTCCTTTTTCAAAAAATTTGTTACTCATTTTCTTTTCAAATACAGGAATAGTTGGTCGTTGGAAGAACCACTTCACCGTGGCACAGAACGAAGCATTTGATGAATGGTATCGAAACATTATGGCTGACACAGATCCCGGCACAGATCTCTCGTTTACGTTTGAATAAACATCGATAGAAATGGGACCTATAGCTTTAAAAGCTCTGTTTTCTTTACAGGTTCCTCCTATTTTTCTCAAATTCTGATGTATTTAATTTCTTATTATCTGTAATGTTACTCTTCTACATGTATTTATGTAGTTTAAATTTCAATTATTTTTGTAATACTCTGTATGTAGGCCTATATATTATGTTTGTATGAAGAAGATAAATACCATTATGGTATACCATTCCAATAACATGATGAATGATGATGCAGAAGAAGGGAAAAGACTGATGAAGAAGAAGAAGAAGAAGGAGAAGAAGAAGGTACTAGAAGAGAAGGACTATTGTGATTATGACTACTGTATGGTTATGATTAGCACGCCATGATAATACCTACAATATCAATGCCACGACGCTATTATTGTAACATATCAACTAAATTTAACAAAATGTAGCCTATGTTGTAAATTTTGTGATGTGTCCTTTTGTTGTATCTTAAATAAATAAAATACCACCAAAAAAAAGTACAGTGTACTTAGCTTTATCATTTTTGTTTAGAATCGTATAATCAAAAAGGTGTAGGGCCAATTAATTAAAAATTATATAGGTGTGAATATTCAACAATTTTTTTTTAAAGCGCCATAGAAGTCTACAAACTAAATAAAATAACAATGACGAAGACATCGACAACGACAACAACAACGACGACAACTACATAAAAAAAAAATAAGGAACAACTGCATATCAGGTCGGAACCTTTAATGTATAAGACTCGAATTTTCCAGAATTATCCATGGATAAGGTTTAAATGGTGGCAAATGAAAACCTGGAGATGAGAGAGAGAGGGGAAAAGGAGAGAGAGGAGGAGAGGAGGGGGGGGGGGGGGAGGGGGGTGAGAGAAAGAGTTAGTGTGAGAGAGATAGAGAGAGAGAGAGAGAGAGAGAGAGAGAGAGAGAGAGAGAGAGAGAGAGAGTGTGATTGATTTGGTTGATTTTATTCCCCAAAAAAAAAGATCAGATCTAAGTCAGCTTGAATAGGGTAACCCACAAAAGCTCGAAAGCTAATTATTTCCAGTGGGGTCCCTGCCATGACATACATAAGTTAAAATCGAAGCATTTATAGACAGATAAGATTATAATAACGATAACAACATCAAACTAATGATCGAAAATATAATAAAAAGAAGAAGAAGAAGAAGAAGAGGAAGAGGAAGAGGAAGAGGAAGAGGAAGAGGAAGAGGATGTGGAAGAAGAAGAAGAAGAAGAAGAAGAAGATGAGGAAGAGGAAGAGGAAGAGGAAGAGGAAGAGGAAGGGGAAGGGGAAGGGGAAGGGTGAGGGGAAGGGGGAGGGGAAGGGGAAGGAGAAGGAGAAGGAGAAGGAGCTAAAAGGAGAAAAAGAAGAAGAATAAGAAGAGGAAGAGGAAGAGGAAGAGGAAGAGGATGAGGAAGAAGAAGAAGAAGAAGAAGAAGAAGACGATCGAAGAAGAAGAAGAAGAAGAAGAAGAAGAAGAAGAAGAAAAAGAAGAAGAAGAGCTGGCTCGATTCATTTGTTTTTCTCGCTTTAAAGATACCATAAATAGTTTAACGATAGCAACTGTCTGAATTCATGTGTTGTTAAGTGGATAAAAACAAGACAATTTTGCGGTAATTTCAATGTCATACTGTAAGTCTGTTATTGTATGGTTACAATTGTGTATACTTATGATATTCATGTGTCGCTTAGTATGAAAAAATAAATACGTATGCTTATTTAATGTGTCAAATTCTGTGCTACAATTTTTTTTTACAATGACGCTCCTGTCGTCATGACCATACCGACCGGTACTCTCTCGCTCCAGCGGAGCCGATCCGATGGGTAACACGAAGGTCTTGGGTTGGCCGTGGCTCCCGGCTAAGTAGAGCCGGAGCTCGCGGCGCGAGTCTAGGCTCCGCTAGACAGATACTAGATAGAGACATTTTGATGTGTTGTAAATCAAAACATAAAGGAATGTTGTTATTAAGCTGAATTTGCAGCAAAGTCTAACAAAAAATGTTAGTAACTAACAGTAACAGTAACAGACACACGCATAACTTAAGCTTAGAGTACATTTAGCGCTTGTGCAGATTGTTCATCCAATCTCAGCAAATTGCAGACTCATTTTAGTTCTTACTAAATTGGCGCCGACAAGGGCCCTTCTTATTCACCTGTATTCACCTGTAGATCTATTCACCTGTCTTTTCGCTTGCTTCCATTCACCCAATGTTATAAGATATTTGTGCAAGGAGAAAGCTTGTGATTTTCCATTTCATCTTTAGAGACATGAGTGTGAGGTATTGTGAATGGATATTTGAAAGCGTGTTCACTCGTCACACAACATAACTCTTATTTTTATTTTTAGCTACGAGGAAGCAAGGTTGCACTGACAATAAAATACATGATAAAAAGTATTCCCTTTTCGTTATGTTTATTGGGTACTGATGAGGCTGACGTACACTTGCAAAGTGTAGTCAAGCACAAGCCGAAGATTTGGAATGAGAATACATAAATGAGAATTGCAGATATTGCACGTAGTTACATTATAATGATCAAAGATAAGAATGAACATGAATAAATGCGATGTACATAATGAATGAAAGCTTACGACAGAATAGAAATGCCGTCGAAAGTCCAATGAAGAAGAAGAGAGTTGAGAACGAAGGAAGGGGCTCATGCGATGATGTGCGGAGGCTTGAAGGCGGAGATGCAGCTTCATTGTCGTGGCTGAAGAACCGTGAAGAATCTCGACGCTGACGTCCGTGATGAAGATAGTGAAGAAGCTCTCAGGCGAGAAGAGAAGAGAAGAAAGTGACGCTCGACGATGAAACAGTGAGTCGTTTGATGTCGGAGGCCAAGGTAGAAAATGCAGACATCAAAGCCGGCATTGGTGCTGAGCAGTGAGTCGCTCGATTGATGAGCCGAACTTTGATGGTGAATGTTTAGATGAGCTGCGGTGAGTCGAGCTCATGTGAGTGAAAGACTACCGGTGAAGAAACTGGCAGCTCCCAGCGGATAACCAAGCACCATATATGTCGGATCTTGATTTAACTGTTCCACTGGAAGACTGCAGCCTGATGAACACGGCAGAGAAAGTTGACGTGCCATGCAAGAGGTGATAGGCACGGTAGAATAATAAGCCTGGAGAGAAAATCATGGAGCGTGTGACTCAACTGAAGATGGATGCAGGAGTTGTTGACTCGACCAAGTTGGAAGCGGGAGTGGAGAAAACCTCGTGGTGATGAAAATACGCGGGGTGAACAGTGCGGAACCACGATGCGCGATTGGAAAGAAATACACACGTGGCCCGAATAATGAATATAAATAAGTACCGTGATGGAAAAATACTGGAGACATGAATGCCAAAGTGAACCAGTGAAACCCTCTACTCTAGTCTAGGCTAGTCTATTTGTTATTATTTTTTCAGCATTCTTAAAAGGTTAAGTAGACTAGACTATTTTACTTAAGTTGAAGTCTTTTGTAACTTTTTTTTAAGTTTGAACAATTCTCATTTTCGTCATTTTAAGGTACAAACTTGAAATTTATTCTGAAATGTTTGTTGATTTTTCTATTTTATGTGTGCGTCAGTTATGTGTGAAGTGCGTCACCTGTTTAAAGCATGAGTCATGACATGTCAAAATCCCTGTGGTGTAACGTAATATTACGTATTGACATTAGCATTGAACTAAAGTTGCGCTTAAGTTAAGTAGGCCCTCTCTCACTCGCATTCAAAGCCACTCGAGCGGATCGGCCAATGAGAGTGCGTAAACTCACTGTAAAGCGCTCAATGTGCAAAGTTCTTCGTGAGACAATAACATCTGTGTAGATCTGTCTTACTACTTGACCGCTTACTGCTTAGTCACAGAGTCGTAGGTATTGAATTGAGTATTCTCTCCGGCCCTAAAACTAAAGCCTTGGCAGAAATGCACTTTTGCACCGGGCATCTAGGCTAAAGTGTGATTCTGCTTATTCCATTAAATAAAAAGGGAAGAGTATCAGGCTATGCTTGAATCATTGATTACATTTTTTTTTTTAAAATCATGATTAAGAACATATGATAAGGTCTTTCCTTTGCATTTTATTTAACAAAATGAATGAAATCTCATTTTAGAAGCCCGGTGCAAAAGTGAATTTAGGTTTTTTTCCACTTCCAAAGATTTTAGATACGTCTCTTGACTCTGAACTTACGGCTCAACACTCTGGTCTAGTGGCAGTGGAGTAGAATGAGCCAGACTGGATTATGGCTTATGCTCATAAAATGGTGAAATAATACTTATGCAAAATCTGTTGGAAATGATTCTCTTTCGAATTCATCAAAGAGAATCAATAATCACAGCAATCTTATAGATTACACACACAAAATTATTTCTAAAAAAGTGATAGAAATTTGCCTACCATGCAAATATACGGTAGATCTAGCTGTAGACGTGCAATTTACCCTCTAGGCTCTATGGATGTTGATGATCCCTAACATGTTGGTACGAAATGTGTGTCATAGTGCCTGCACTCGTGCAGTGTAATATGAGGTGTTGTGATGCACGATTCCAAATTTTAGTGCACTAATCAAGATCAGATACATATAGCCATAACCATCTTATCTTCTCTCCTTTAGGTAATGGTGGTCGTCTTTCTTCTATCCTTGTATCTATCGGATAGATCGAGATGGATTTAGTGGACTTGGATCCACTCTCTGCCCGATCGACCTCTTCAGTTGAAGATGGAGCAAGTAGCACCAGAAGCAAGAAATCAAAGACCCTAGCAAGACTCAGGTATTTGTTTATTACACATGTTTGTCGTAAAGTGAGATTGCCTTTTCAAGGGATAATTAAACTTCGAACTATCTCTGGAAGTATCAGTCTAACTAGGTTGTAAAAAATTGTATAGGACAGAATATTTTCTTTGTAGCCACTCAAATAATCATCCGAGTGTAGGGTTGTGTCTATTTCGGCTTTGGTCGACCTCTTCAGGGAAGAAGTAACTGTATCAGAGTAATCTGCTAAGTTCAGGGAATATACTAGCCAATCTATAGAAAACCATAATATGCGAGTGCTGTCATTGTCATTTCATTTATAAAGTTCCTTCAAAATACTCTTGTGTTTCTGGATGATCTTTTTATTTTGCTTTTTTTTTATGCAGAAAATTGAAGAAAACCAACAATTCACTGAGTGACCCATCCAAGGATGTCTTGGTACCCCACCCACCAGACAGCCAGCAAAGAGATGGTCTGTCTGATAGGAGGTTGTCTAATGGCTTTGTGAATGGTGGATCAGCACTTTCTGATGACCTCACACAGTCCACCAAGACAGAAAGGGACAGAGTCAATGACATCATCACTGGGGATGATAGGGGAAAGGTCACAGGCCTTGACCCTTTGCCATCATCCAACCGACTGGATTGGGGAGAAAATTCGACCTTGAAATCCTCCCTATTTTCCTCTCCGCTTGACCCCGTGAAACCAATGAGACGAGGCCTAGGAGGGCTTGAATCCCTTGCTCCACGAGCAGTGCTGGAACCACTGGAGAAACCAAAGACAAAGTCCCAAATGAAGCCAGAAGAAAACATAGACAGGGTAGGCATTAGAACGAATGGGATTTCAAAGAATGGGACTTTTGAAGTTGAGGAAGCACCAAAGGAGACATACGATACACCTTCGCAGAGGGGAAATGCGTTGAGGATAGATGGTGTTGTAGAGACAGAAACAAGTGATTCGCACAATTTTGAGTCATTTCCAGACAGAAACTCTATTCAGGAAAATGATTTTGTGAGTTTATCAAGTGTGGAGAAACACCTACCATCTGAAACAAATCTTGAGACAAAATCTCATGCTCATGGAAGAGAACAAATGAAAGATGTCCTTTCAAAGTCAGGTGACCTGTTAGGGGATGATGATGGTGGCGATGCGCTTGATATTTTACCGGATGACGGAGAATCAAATGAGCTCAGAAGTGATGTTGTAGTTTCTAGTGCAATGAAAGAAAGGACAAACATAAGCAGTACATTTAGTGACATGACAAACACTCGTGCATTAGCAGCGGAGAGCAATGATAGGACTCTGAACAGTAGATTTCAGAATTCACTTGGAAGTGAGGCACAGGATGTGCTTCAAGAACAACAGACAAAGCCAAAAATGAGTGTCACTCTAATAGAGGATGATGATGATGATGATGAAAGTGATGATGATGAGTTAATTGTTGTAAGTCCTCTAAAGAACTCTTTCGAAGCTCGAGCAAGCAATGTTCCTCCAAAAAGCGAGGACAATTTGAAAGGGAATGATTTAGAGGAGGAGGAGGTGAAAGAAATTGAATTGCCAAATAGAACAGTCCTTGGTGATGAGGATGAGATTCTAAAAGATGATGATAAAGAAGATGAGGAGAAATTGAAGCAATATTTGAAAGACAAACTACAGCACATAGAAGATGATGAAGACAGTGATGCTTTGCGGGCTGCAAGTCCAACCGATTCCTTGAGGGCTGGACGCCTCTCCCCCATAACCAACGCCAGTGCCCCGCCCCCGCTTCCAAGCACCGTCATGTCGCCCTCCTTGCGGACCAGTTACAAGAGGGATGATGACTTGGAAGATAGTTTTGGAAACTCTGAGATGTCAGTACTGAGTGGTGGGTCCATGTCTGAAACCAACAGGTCTATGGCATCCAGCTCCTTGCTGCTCAACAAACTAACCAACAAGAGTGCAAGAAAGGGCAACAGGTAAAATCATCTCTATTTATTCATCAGGGCGGCGTCTCACGAAACCGTCATAAGTACAAGTTCACCGACATCCCATTGAAATGCGTTAACGCATGTTTCAATGAGATGTTGGTGAACTTGTAGTTATGACGGTTTCATGAAACGCTGCCCAAGTTACTTGATTTTGGGCAAATCCAAACACAAAGCTGCCAACCATTCCATTTTTTTCATCTAAATTATGTTTTTTTAATACAAAATACGTTTTTTTTTATTTAAAAAAAAAAAAAAACTTAAAGAGAAATATATTCTCAAAACGAATGAAACGCTGATAATACCAAAATAACAACAACAAAATACCTACTTGTAAATAAAGTCCTAATACGCAAAAAAAAACTGCATGAGGAATGGACATATCTGCATTGGAAGTGCGTGGCTGTAAGTTTCGTTTTACTGAATTCCTTTTTTTTGCTTGAAATTCCTTTTTTTTGCCATCATGGTTACTTTTTTTGGTCGCACAAGGTTGGCAGCTCTTTAAACATAGTTTCAACAATACTAGACAACACTAAGTAACTGTGAACATGTATTCCAAACGTGAGAGTTCTCCTCATCAGATGATGATTAGCAGGGGGGGGGGGGGCATTTCACAGAACTTGTCATCAGTGACAAATGACAGTTTTTGTTTTAAGCTACTGAAATCCTTGCTTCTGATTGGTTATCAGCAGATTTGTCACTGATTTTTGTCATTTGTCATTGAAAAAAGGCTTTGTGAAAGGGACCTAGTTAACAACAAAATCAAAATCAAAAAAGCAAATCTTTAATGTATCCAGTCAAAGCACATGTACGGTACATTTAAGAATTAAGATAGAATGACATATTAAAAATGCAATAATTAGCTTATCTTCCTGAATACCACATTCATTCAGGAGATATGAGATGATACGAAAGGAGCAAATCAAGTCTAATCTTATTTGTCAAACACATCTGCATGTGGTACCTTGTACAGTTTAGTTTGTAGACAAAATGCCCGGCCCCCCCACTCAGTGTTATTTAGGGTACGCATATGCGTGTTCCAACCGACCCCCCCTTTTCAGCAAAAGTCCGGTGTGTAAAGTCAATACGGCTCGACCTTTTTCTTTTGTATACGAGCCTTTTTCAGCATCCCCCCCTTTTCAGCAAAAGTCCGGTGTGTAAAGTCAATACGGCTCGACCTTTTTCTTTTGTTACGAAAAGGACATTTTGGCAACACGCATGCGGTCATTTTGAAACCTGAGTGGGGGGGCCGGGACAAAATGTCAATACTTGTGCACATTATTATGTGTTAAACACTTCATTCTAGTTTAAAAAATTACTTCTGTTCTAACTTTCTATTACCTTTTTATTGAAGTAGAGTAGTAGACAGATTTGAGCCTAGCAATTTTTCGGTAATGCTAAAAATTGTTTTTGAAAATCCCTTAGCCAAATCAAGAAACACTCCTGTGTATTTTATTCACCACTGATGTCATTATGTACGTATTTTCAGTAAGGTACAGTACTATACCCTGTTTAGTCTTTGGGCAAGGATTTATACACTGTCGTGATAGAGGTCGAGTGAATATGTCACCGGACTGTGGATCACAAGGTCCGCGGTTCAAGTCCCGCCGGGCCACTAATGTCCTTTGGCAAGACATGATCTACATTTGCCACTCTCGACCCAGGTGTTAAATGGGTACCCGGTAGGATGCGAAAGCTAATGTGCTTTATATTAGCAAGTGTGCGCTTGTAAAAATGATGCCTGGCTGAAATGCTCCCCAGGGAGTGGAGAATGTGCATACATTATGTGTGGGTAAGCCTGAATCGGATGACCGGGGTAATGATATACCTGTAAAGCGCTTTATATAAGAACAACATGTTATCATCATTTTGTATATATCTTTATCTAGGAGTTACCTGAGTGGAGGGGTGCGTAATAGCGGATCTCTGTTAGGCAAGGATGAGCTGGATTCCCATCTTCCAGAGAGAAGACTACGCATCTTTGTTGCAACGTGGAACATGCATGAAGACAAGGTGAGCTTTAAAGGGGGATCTGTGTTTTGGGTGGTTTAACATATCATATGTGTTAAAGGGGGTGTAGCATGGCAAATACTGGTTAACACCATCTATGACTTCTTCTGGACCACTGCACAATAAGGAATGGACTTGATTAACGGTAAGCATGCGCAAGCGTTCACGAAACAGACCGAAGTTCTCCTCGGTTTTGCATATGTTGCACGCACGTGAATACTGTAGTTACGTCGTCCATAGTCGTATTATACCCAATTGGCCCCGAGTCAGGCCACAGGAAAGACACGTAGTCTCTTCATGCTACACCTCCTTTAAGATAATATTTATTTCCTGTGTGCAAAATTCTCTGTTTCTTTTGTTTTTGAATAGATTAGTGATGTACACATGCTCAAGCTTTCTTTCTTAGCAGTCTGGTAAAACAAATAAACATAAACAAAAACATAAACGTAACACTATCTGAGGAGCAACAAACCAGTTTGATTGGCTTATTTGGGATTCTCCTTACAGATAGGCTGCTGGTAATGAACAGCTGTCATTAACACTGATCTCCTCTATAATATGTATAATTTAACATAGAGTTTATGCCTTTCTGGCCGTGAGCAGATGATCAGGTAATACTTAAAGTGGCTGTTTTGCACATTATATACAAACACAAACAAACAAGTAAACATTTACATTGTATTTGCAAACGTTACTCCCACTTTTCAGTTCTACTCTCCATATTTTCCACCACATACATTTGCTCCGTTTACCATATACTGCTTATTCCAGTCCTTCTTCTCTCACATGATTTCAGTAGAAGTATGTTACTTTACACTAATTCTGATTTCTTTTTAATTTGTGTTTCCATATGTTGCAATATAAGCTATATTTCTCGTATTTATACTGATTTGTTTTTGAGATTCAATCATGTTGTTGAATGTTATATATTACATTATGTGTTATTAATTTTGTTTATAAACTTTTGTAATTCGGCTAAATGCTGTGATGAAAGTTTTATTTGAAATAAACCATTTTGAATGAATGAATGAAACAAATGAGGAAACAAAAACAATGTTACTTTTTTCAAATTGTTATTGCAGGAAATACCTGAGAACCTGGATGATCTTCTTCTTCCTGAAGACATTGAGTATATGCAGGATGTCTATGTTATAGGCACACAGGAATCATCTCCTGATATGTGAGTATGAATCCAATTGTTTATTCATTCAACCATTCATTCATTCATTCATTCAATCAATCACTCCATCATTCATTCATTCCATCAATCATTCATTCATCCAATCATTCATGCACACATTTATTCATTCATTCATCTAATCATTCACACACACATTTATTCATTCATTCATTAATTCATTCATTCATTCATTCATTCCATCGTTCATTCATTCATCCAATCATTCATGCACACATTCATTCATTGATTCCATCAATCATTCATCCAATCATTCACTCACACACACTCATTCATTCAGTCAGTCAGTCATTCATTCCATCATTCATTCTTTCCATCATTCATTCATTCCATCAATCATTCATTCATCCAATCATTCACACACACACATTTATTCATTCATTCATTCATTCCATCAATCATTCATTCATTCAATTTCATCATTCATTTATGTCATTAATCATTCATTCATTCATCCAATCATTAACGCACACATTCATTCATTCATTCATCCAATCATTCATGCACACAATCATTCATTCATCCAATCATTCAATCACACATTCACTCATTCATTCTTTCATTTATTACTAAAAAAATGATTTTTAGGTCACACTGAATTATGGCACGTCCAGAAGTAAACATGCTGTAGATGAAGCCAAGAAATATCAAAAGCTATTCAATGCTGCTATTTGCATGCTCAATGCGAATAAGCATGGTGTCATTGTTATCGGGCTAGTAATATCCCGTTTCAGAATTAGTGGGCTACTTTGAAAATTTGGGCTAATGAAGATGGGTCTATTTGAACATTGTGATTTTTGTATATTTTTTTATTGATATGTTTTATTGCTTCAATTTAACATTTAACAATATGCTTTAAAAAAAACTATAACAGCCATTACTATATAATATGCATACAAATTCACAAAGATTCTCTTATATTACACCACAGTAGGGCCATGCATCTCAGATTTAAACATTGTTAAATGATGCCTTTAATAAGTCTGTCATGTTCTGAAATTCCTAAACAAATATTCAAACATTCTGATTGTTCCTTCCTTGATAGAGCTGAATGGGAGATTCGTCTGCAGGAAACCCTAGGACCGTCCCATGTTCTGCTTCACTCAGCAGCGCATGGTGTCCTGCAATGCGTGGTCTTCATCAGGAGGGACCTCATCTGGTTCTGCTCACGTAAGTGTCAATCGTGTCATCAGGGGAGTGTTTCTCAAAGATCCTCAGTTGAACTTAACTCTCTAAGTTGGACTTGAACATTATGGAGAGCCATTTGTAGCCTTAAAATAAAATGTATTCAAGAGTGAAATTCTAAATGTGGCCTTTGTAGACAGGTGGTCACTAAAGCAGGTTTGACTGTAAAAGCAATTTGATATTAATTCATATCTCCCACTTGTTCATATCTCCCACTCTAAACCTGTATTCACATTTCTGCTTGTACATGAATATATGCAATTATAGCATCTGGGTATTTGGCAGAAATGAATTTCTTCTTTAAAATGCTATTGAGTGTCATAATAGCAGCATTGCTAAAGACATAAATGATAAAAATCATCAAAAATCATCAAAAATCTATTTTTTGAATTTCTCAATTTTTTCTTCATTTTCCGAAAGAACATAAAAAATAATGTCCGAATGGCGAAAACCAATTGAATATGTAAGTATTGGCTGAGATATGACCATCTGAATAAAACAACATTATGAGCCAGAGCACTATAACACTGAGTTCCTATACATCTATTTATTCATATATTTATCTATTTATATATATGGTCATATCTCAGCCAATACTTAACATATTCAATTGTTTTTCGACATTTGGACATTATTTTTGATGCTCTTTTGGAAAATGAAGAAAAAATTGAGAAATTAAAAAAATTGATTTTTATGACGTCACAGCTTCGGTTCTCTATAGCAGTGGAGTACCAAGAAAGTTAAGTCTGATGATTGAGTGCTATGCAATAACCCACTGTTATCTTTTTTCTGTTTTTGTTTTCATGACAGCTGTTGAGGAATCAAGAGTGTCAACAAGACCAGGGTCAATGATCAAAACAAAGGTTGGTTTATTACTTACCCCATTGGAATCCTATCATTTTTATCAATTTTTTAAAAATGTTTATGGTCAAAATTCATGGGTACCTGTTTTCTTACCCTCATGTTTTTGCAAGAAGTATGATGGAAATGAAATAGGTTGTGAAGTGGCGTGTATATCATTAATAATTATTTTGAGACAATGAGAAATTCATCTTTCAAATGCTCTCTCTCTCTCTCTCTCTCTCTATTTGTCTTACTACAGGGTGCAATAGCTGTCAGCTTCAATTTCTTTGGGACGTCATTTATCTTCATCGTATCACACTTTACGTGTAAGTATCAGATACTCATCATGGAGTCAGTTTGTTCGGGGATATGACCCAAAGTAATAGGCAGCCCAAGAGCATATCGAGGGGTCAGTGACACAAAGATGTAACTCCATTTTGGCCATTTTGAGAAAAAGTGGTTTATGTGTTACAGAGCACTTAATAGGGCCTTAAGGAGTTAAGTCTAGATGTTTCACTAGCCATTGACTTCAATGGAGTGTTGGGTGGAGTTAAGTCTTTGTGTTTCCTGAAAAGCCCACATTTTTCTGAACATTTTGATATCAAATACTAATTTTGGCAAAATATGGAGTTACGTCTTTGTGTCATTGAACCCTCAATATGACATTAATAATAGGGCAAGTCCAAGCTATAGTGTCTGATATGTCCGAGCTTCACGTTGTTCAAAAGAATGGTTTGGAAAATCTTGCACTGGCTGGAAGAATAGAGGGGAGGAGGAGTAGGGGTAGAAGGAGGGTTTTCTGGATGAGTAGCTTAAGGAGCTAGAGTGGGATTTCTGAAAGTGGAATTGATCTTGGGGAGAATGAATTACTTCATAGAATATGGGACAGAGAGTTGTGACAGAGTTGTGGCATTCCATGGTCACCAACGTCTAAGGACATGGCACGTAAATATATATATTACAAATAGGAATCGACTTTAATTTTTAATTTTTAAAGTCGATTCCTATTTGTAATATATATATTTCTGTGTGGTTATCTTATCAACTCAAACGTAATTACGTAATTATGTTAATTCAGGTTTTAAGGCTTTTATCGTTGCCTATCTTCAAAATATTTTTCCCCCCTTTTTTCTTTGATTGTTTGGTTGCTCAACATTATTTTTGTCTGTTTATCTGCTACCATTACCATATATCAGTTTAGTAATTTGATGATCTTGACTCTACTTTCTCTTAGTTTATTTTGGTATTGTATGGATGGAATTGTATTATTTTTGTCATCTTTATTTCGTATTGTACTTGTCATACCTTTCGTTTGGCTCACTATTGTATATTTACTGTATTTATAACCGTATTGTATAATTTGTAAACATGAACAGTTTTGGTCCTTGGACCTTTGAATCATGTATATTTATATGTCTTTTTAAACCGAAATAAATAAAAAATAAATAAATAAAATAAATAAAGAAGAAGAAGATTTCACAGGGCCCTGATGATTCATTGTCTTTTATTTTCTCTGTGTAATACAGCTGGGGATGAGAACATGAAGGAGAGGCTGCTGGATTATGAGAAGATCTTGAAAGGCATCAGTCTACCCGAGAAAGTACCCCCAACCAGGAAGTTCAACGTACTTACAAGTAAGACAAACTGCAGTCAAACCTGTCTATAGCGACCACCCAAGGGAAACACAAAAAGTGGTCTTAGTAGATAGGTTGTCTTTGTATACAGGTTCCTTTAGTACCTGTTTCAATGAGAAACCATTTTCTAGGAAAACTAAAAATGTGGTCTTTGTAGAGAGGTTGTCTTTGAAGACAGGTGGTCACTATAGCAGGTTTGACTGTACTTCATTGTTCCAGTAAGACGTGTACAGAAGCACAGTTTATAAAGCAGACAAAGTTTATTGAATACAGTCAAACTTGCTTTACATTTTTTGTTTCCCTTGAAAATGGTTTCTCATTGAAACATGTACTAATGAGTACTCAGAAAAAATTTAGAAAAACAAAGGGCAAATACTGTTTGCAATTGTTTTGTACATACATTGTAGATTACAAAAGGTTCAAAAATTCTGATGTGACATGAGCTACTGAAAGTTCATGATTTTTATTATAATAATAATAATAACAATATTTATAAATCGCAACATATCCGTCTCTAGAGATGCCCAAGGCACATACAAATAATTTAAATTAATATTAAATGTTAACTTACATTAGATTACACAACTTCATGGTGCCACGGTACATACAATGTGGCACAGTGTGATTATTCGTTTGGCATACATTGTATAAAAAGAATATTTAAATTTAATAATATGCATTGAGCATCAGGTGAGTTTTAAGCCCAGTTTTAAAAGTAGAAAGAGTGTTGGCCGTCTAAATAGAGAAAGGTAACTTATTCCACAAAGAAGGAGCTGCTGATGCAAATGCTGTATCCCCCAATTTCTTTTACCTGTAGTACGTATTTCTTTAAGCCTAATATTATATTGAGTCATTGTATTGATGTTTGTCTATAGGTGATGTGACAACTCGCTTTGACTGTGTGTTCTGGTGTGGGGACTTCAATTTCCGGTTGGCAGAGAACAAGGCCCGGATAGAAGGCTGGATAGATCAGCTTAGAAGAGGCAATAAAGATGATTACGATATCCTGCTGCAGTATGATCAACTCAATAAAGCAATGCAAAGAAGTAAGATAAATCCTCTCTCTCTCTCTCTCTCTCTCTTCAAAAGTAGTTCTCTCTCAACCCCTCCCTCCTCTTTGTCTTTCTCTGTCTCTCTATCCTTCCGTCTCTCCACATTATGATCAACTCAATAAAGCAATGCAAAGATGTAAGATGAGTCCTCTCTCTCTCTCTTTTTAGAAGTAGTTCTCTCTCAACCTCTCTCTACTTCTCTTTGTCTTTCTCTGTATCCTTCTGTCTCTCCCCTTCCCTGTTTCTCTCCGTCTCTCTGCCTCTCCGTCTCTCTCTCTCTCTCTCTCTAACCCCTTCTTCTACCTCTCTTTAGTGTCTCTCTCCCTCTCTGACTCCTCTATGTTTTTTCTGGCTCTCTTCCTCAAAGTCACCTTCACTCTCCTCTCTCACTCTCTCTCTCTCTCTCTCTATCTCCCCCTTGTGTATTCATTATGTTTTAATATATAAACATAGAATTTGTATGCAGTGTATATGGTATTGGATTATGGATATAAGTTACTCAAAATACGAGTAAGGAACTCTCTGTTTAAAAGAATGATAATACTTTAAGCATCCATTATAAGATCAGGCTTCAAAACTGCCATATAGATACTGTCCCAGTTTTGAGATATTTCAATTTGTGATAACATACATGTATGGCCCAAACTGAAAGGATTGTACTCCATGCCTAATTTATCTTTCTTCTGGTTGCTACGAATGTAATGCAAATCTAGTAGGAAAGCTGTGTAGATCACATTAACATTGTCATTATAAAATCACTGTGCTTTTATTGTTACTGTGGTAGTCTTTGCATGTAAAGTTGAACTGCATTTTATTTCACACTATTTCCTACTTTTGTGAGTTTGCAAACTCATGATAACCAGTTTCATGTTCCTCTTTACTCAGATGAAATCTTTCAGGGCTTCCATGAAGGGAAAATTGAATTTCTGCCAACGTACAAATTTGATATTGGAGAGGACATATACGATACATCCGCCAAGGCCAGAGTTCCTTCTTACACAGTAAGATCATTTGATATAATTATAGTCTTTATATTTCTCTTTCAAATAAATCCCACCATTGAAATGCAAGCTGCATTGGTTAAAGACAAAAATTCCCTGTCTTCATTAGCCCCAGATGACCTGTTAATTTTTTTTAAAACCCAAGTGCAGAACATGCACAGGAAGGAAGGATATGATTTAAAATTTGTGTACAAAAGACAGAAGCAGAGCCATGTGTTCAAGAAATATGAGTCACAATGTGTCCCTACAAATAAGCCAAAATAGCAAAGTGTTTCATAGACCAGGGGCCTGTTTCACAAAGCCTTTTTTCAATGACAAATGACAAAAATCAGTGACAAATCTGCTAATAACCAATCAGAAGCAAGGATTTCAGTAGCTTATTAAAAAAACTATCATTGGTCACTGATGACAAGTTTTGTGCAAAGCCCCCCCCCCCCCCAGGCCAACTGGATTTAATCGGTTGAGGTAGTTTCTCAAGTGCAGTGGTGAAATAGCACAATAAATAGCTTTTCACTGTGAATAATTGGGCTTCTTGTGATCAATGCTAATTTTTCTGTATCAGAACTTTATTATATTTTATAAATGTAGAACATACCTTGTTTAATTTACTGCTACATTTGCCTTGAATGTTTTGCATAATGGCAATATGGCTTTAGAAATACTCATTATTATGATATTGTAATTATTATTATTATTGTTGTGGCATATTTATTGATAGTTGCAAAACAGCCATCAACCTGACTTTAAGAAATTGTATGAAAAAGTATATCAGTAAAAAATAAAGTATTACAAGGATAGCAAATTAACATGGTGAGGTGATTTTCTTCAATACACAGTGTGATGGTATTTTGATTTTGCTCTTGTTTTTTTGTTTGTGTCATACAGGATCGGGTATTGTATAAGAGTCGCAAAGTTTCAGACATCTCATTAATTCACTACAGCAGCTGTGAGGAGATCAAGACGTCGGATCATCGACCGGTCTATGCCCTCTTTGAGGCTGGCGTCAGACCTGGAAAAGACAAGTAAGATATACTCCTCTCTACGTATTAAAATCGATTTGAATCTGAATCGGTACAACTCAACTACGGGTTCGTAATAGCGCGCAAAATCCTTGACCGCTCTGACCTCATGACGTCACGCGTCATGGCAACAGGATCTCTCAAAAAAGGGGGTGCTACGATAGACCGCGCCATCTCACTGCGGTGTGAATCCAGCGAATGCCAATGGGTAGACCGTGGATCACGCTGTCGTAGCGCGACCCACGGTCCGCCCACGGTCCCCCCTTGCGGTCTGAACAGCCTCATAGACAACTTATTTTACCTTCAAAGCAGTATCTCAGAGAAACATGTTATCAAAGGTTTTTAGAAAACTAATCAGTGGAATGATAGGAGAATTAAATGGTCAACAGAAAGAAGATTTACCTAAAATTCTTTTAATGGATTTGAAGAGAATCTGCACCACAAAGAAAGTATTTTGTATTTATTTGTAGTATTGTGAGTGTTGACAAGGATGAAATGTGAATTGTCAAGCCTTTATTTTCCAATTTCCTGTAAAATGTCCTCATTATTTTCAATTCTGTTTGATGCTTATGTATATGAATCTATTTTTTAGTACAAATTCTTCCTTTCTTGCAGCTCAACTTTGGGAGGAGGCATGTTCGTTCGTGAAGTCTACATAGAAGGTATGTTCTTAAAACACTTTAGGAAATAAGTTTGTTAATACCAAAGTACGCAGAAGATTATCATAAGTTTTTTGGGGGCATTTTTATCGATAAGAAAAGCACAAGATTTGCTTTCGAATTCCTGCATATACCTTCTTCACGGGTGATCTTACATTCACTTCAGCGACAAATCGCTCCACGTTTTATTTTATCAATGGTATAGGGTTAGGTTTAGGCTTTCGACTGGGCTTTAGAGATAGGTGAAGGGTTAGGTATAGTGTGAGGGATACTTTCATCTCCATGGTTAAATTTAGACATTTTTTTAGTGTAGGATAACGACCAGAGAGCAATTGTTTTAGAAGCACCCCTTTCATTTGTTTTTCTGGGTAGATGTCCTAGTGGTAGTTGTCCTAGGTATAGTGGTCCTTAAGGTTATTATCGTAGTTGTTCTCGGGGTAGTTTTCGTAGATTCATCCTAGGGGTCATTGTCCTAGTTGTAATTGTCCTAGAGGAAGTTGTCCTAGTAGCTAATGTCTTAGAGGAAGTTTTCCTGGTGGAAATTGTCCTAGTGGTAATTGTTCTAGTGGTCCTAGGGATAGTAGTCCTGCAGGTTATTATTGTAGGGGGAGCTTTTCTCTGGGTAGTTTTCGTAAATCTGTCATAGGGGTAAAGGGGTAGTTTTCGTAGATTCGTCCTAGGGGTCATTGTTCTAGTTGTAATTGTCCTAGTGGATGTTGTCCTAGTGGTAGTTGCCCTAGTGGTAATTGTCCTAGTGGTAGTTGTCCTAGAGGAAGTTTTCCCAGTGGTGATTGTCATAGTGGTAGTTGTCCGAGAGGAAGTTGTCCTAGTGGTAGTTTTCCGAGAGGAAGTTGTCCTAGTGGTAGTTGTCCTAGTGGTAATTTTCCTTCAGGAAATTGTCTTAGAGGAAGTTGTAAGTTGTCCTAGTGATAAACGTCCTAGAGGAAGTTGTTCTGGTGGAAATTGTCCTAGTGGTAATTTTCCTAGTGGTAATTGTCCTAGTGGTGATTGTCCTAGTGGTAATTTTCTTAGTGGTGATTGTCCTAGTGGGGATTGTCGTAGTGGTGATTGTCCTAGTGGGGATTGTCGTAGTGGTAATTGTCCTAGTGGTGATCGTCGTAGTGGTAATTGTCCTAGTGGTGCTTGTCCTAGTGGTAGGTTTCCTAGAAGTAGTATCCATGGGGGTGATAGTCCTAGAGATAATTATTGAATGTGGACATATGTAATTTCTCAAAATGTTGCATAATTGCCAGCAATCCTAATAATTTACCGGTATTTATTGATCCCTTGTTTTCCTGCAGGTATCAAGAGGAGAGTGGCCAAGTCTGGCATGTCCAAGAGAACACAAGCTGCTGGGAGTTCTGTCTGCTCTGTCATGTGATCATCAGGTATCTAATCAGGTGACTGATGTGACATGTCATGTGACATTTTGCCATCATGGTAGGATAAGATGTACTAGTGTGAGGGTACAGTGTTGTTGTTAAGTGTTATTTATGATTGTATTCAGCACTGTTGACAACTCTCCAGTTTTGACGAGAATGGGGACCAAATTCTTCCGGCAGCTCCTGGGAGTTCTTGCTTTAGATTTAAATAATAGGAGGCATTTGAATAAGCCATCCACTCTCATCATGCATATGTGATGATTCAAATTCATTTATCATTATAATATACCGTATTACACTTCATTACATCATGGACATAAATGAGTGATACAATGATATAATTTGAGGGTTCAGTGACACAAAGATGTAACTCCATATTTTGCCAAAATGAGTATTTAATATCAAAATGTTTAGAAAAATGTGGGCTTTCCAGGAAACACAAAGACTTAACTCCACCCAAACCCCTATTGTAACTCCTTAAGGCCCAAGTGGACCTCTATCTTTAAACCACTTTTTCTCAAAATGGCCAGAATGGAGATACGTCTTTGTGTCACTGACCCCTCGAATTACAGGGTGAAATTATCTCACAGATGTCACAATAATTTTTGTCTCTCATGAAATGAGGTTTTTTTTTAATGTAGACAAATATTTAGATATTGGCACAAATGATATATTTCAACTGAAATATTTTGCAATTGTGTCTCTGGTATGTTTTACTGCTGTATCAAAAGCATTATCAAAATCGTAGACATTCTTTCTTAATTATGAGGCTATTCATTCCTTTCAATTGAATAGTAGTTGTACAAAATTATATTTGATACGTGCAATGATTGTACATTGATGGAATGTAACTGTAATCAAAATATAAAAGTGTTCTGTGATCATCGCCAAGAAATAATTGTGTGAATTAAAATACTTTTCATTGGACTTTTGCTGCATGTTATATCATGGGCTGAATTTACTACACAAATAATGTGCATTGTATTAGTATACTTTGCCATTTTGCATTTATATTAATATACTAAATCAAATAATAAACAAATAAAATGATATTTCATAGCTAGTGCCAAAGGTACGTGTACATTAAAACTATCTATAGATCATGGATGGGAGAACGATGAAGGTCAATAATACCGTATGTGAACAGTATTTTCCCCACCTGCGAAAGAGCCTTGAGACAATTTGCATTGTTCTATTTATCTATTTTTCACCTTGTTTTTTGGTACTTAGAAAACAATGCGATATTTTTTGTGCAAATATCATTGAATTGATATATTTACCTCGATAACAAACCTTGTTAAAACATCTTGTGTCATCTGTTTAGTACTTCGATCAGCAGAAAGTCAACATTTGTGAATATAGCAAAGTATTTGGAGTACAGCTTCCTCAGTGAGTTGTTAATAGAATTAATTGTACAAGATACAGGAAAAAGCTACATATTGAATTACGTTGTCTAATGCTACAATGTATAAGTTTCAAATGAAAAGAGCTACCGTACTCTAAGATATTGTTCAATATATTTTGTGTATCACATAATTATTTTCCACATCACTTCCTTGATGAAACTAAGTATTAGAAATATATGTTGTTTACTGTGCTTCTTTTTTTCTGCAACATTCCATTTTCTGAACTTTCACTTTTATATGCCAGATCGGAGGCATGATGTACAGAGAGGTACATGTATATTGCCTGTCAAGAGCCAGACGAGCTTAAGAACTCTGTGTAAAAAAGTTTTTTATTTGTGTGTAGTCTGTTGTGGGTTGCGAATCCACCATATTGAAAACAGAACCCTGCCATGGTTTACCGAGTCTTACGTGAACGTGCTGTCCTCGTCAGGCAATATATCTTGACAGCAATTTTTATGTTGGTCTAATTCGTGATTGTGACAGGGAATCTATTTATATCTTTTCAAATACAGTGTATTCAATAGATATTTACCACGTTTTCTCTGCTCTTCAGTATTTTGCTCATATTCAGGGTTGTCGTATTGCCTGTCTTCAGGAATTATTTAATACTGCTCTATTTATTTTTGGGACTTTTGGTATTCAAAGCAAAATGCCATTATAGATCTTTTAAGCTCCCAGCACACTTTATAAAATCACCCTCAACCCTTTTTTTAAAGAAATTGCATTGGATATTGAAATTTAAACAATGTTATCTTCCTGATTTAGGTTCTGGGTAATGATTGAATACTAAAATAACAATTTGAATATTCATTGAAAGCCTTCTAGTTGAAGTAAAGACCAAATTGCATGCATATAGTCAGACATCACAATAATTTGGAGCCAACTGTTGGCTTTTCTTCCTTTAAGGATTCTTGCAATACTCTGTAATTTTTACTTTATTATTCATAAGAGTATTCAGAACCTCATTTATAACTATTGTGCGTGTTTAAGTATTTTTGTCAATTGTTATTGCACATTCTTCCACAATTGGATGGTATACAGTTTGAATAGTGAGCTGTAGGATGTACATTTTCTACAATTTAATTCAATCCAACAAAAGAGAAGCCATGAACACCAACAACAAAATGTCATTTCTCTTTTTTTTCCATTTTTACTTCATAGTAAAAGATGTTTACCGGTAAGCTTGTATTCATTTTTTTCTTCAAAAGCCATGGGCTCTTGTATTTATTGACATGGTACATACGGTATTGAAACGAAGCTACCATAGTTTTATAATGATTATTATGTTAGTTATTTCATGAATATCAGAAATACAAAATCTGTTATCCCTGTCATGAACCATTTTGGCCTAGTGCTGTCTATTTGTGTGCATAAATCTTCGTGATTTCTTCAAATGATTGAAATTTGTTAAGGTTCCATCAGTCCTGCAAAGTAATAGAACGAGATTGAATCATATTAAACAATGTCATGTGTTTGTAATTCTTAAAAGTTCTTGACGCAGAAATGGCTGTCATGGTAACTTGTAGATGTTTCCTGTTGCAAGTATTTCAGCTTTCTTCATACTGTATACCATGAACCCTGTTATTAGTTTCAATTAGTAGATGTTCAACATTGTGATGCACAGTAGGATTCTTAAAGTGTTTATTTATTGATGTATTTACCACTTGTGGGATAGAACACTATGGGTGCGTTCAAGCAACGCTTTTTCACCTTAGAAACACGGTTGCATTCAAGCGATTTCAAGCGAAATTGTGTCGGTCGTAAAAATAAACGTGTTCAAAACGCAAACATGAAATGCTGAAAAAGATGCATTTTGTATCGTGATTCTGCAGAATAACGGTCGCTATAAATTGCTTGAACGCAACAGGATCTCAATCATGATTCTATAACGTCATTATCATGGCCCGCTTCCGGGTTTGGCAGACAGTCGACCCTACACAAATTAAAAAAGCACGAAGCAAAATTGACCTATACTTCCTGGGTCAAACTGCGCAGTGTGATGAGCAGTGGCTGGGCTTCAAAAATGAGCAAGTATCAGCGTTGATGAAAAATCGCTTGAACGCTCTCCCGCAGTAACCATGTTTTTCAACAGCGTTTTGATTTGTGATTCATGTTTGTGATTCTAGCTTAAAAAAATCACTTGAACGCACCCTATGATCAACATGAATGCTGTCTTTCAATGGGGATCCACAAGGGTATCAATCACCAAATATTATTTTGTTCTGTATGTTGGTAGTTCCATGTCGTAATACTATATTCACAATGCGAGCTTCAAATTTTACTTCTGTAAAGAGATTTCGCGTATCTAAACATCAAAGTTACTTGTGAGTAGACTACTCGACACACCTGTACATATTCACTTCTGAATGATAAACGTCCATAAACCAAAACTACAACAACACGCTGGCGAAAAATAGGACCTGCTTGGAACCAAAGTAAGACTTGGATTCAGTGCGCGCTATGTTATGTTATTCTTTATTTTCTTCATACTCTTTTATCCGTTAAGCCCATGGATTGGAATGCTGGTGTGTTTATGTTGATTTCATATGTTCTAGTGGATGACAAATTATTTTTGAGGTACACTTACAACTTTGATGACATATGTATTAATTTATTAGATATCATGATTAACTGAAATTCAGCAGTTTTTTTAAAATTGTGTGTGTTGTAACTAGAGGTTGATGGATGTGCCTGTTTTGAAATATGTATATAAAAGATTCTATGCATGAAGGCTCTATTGTACAGTTTATCAAAGATTTTATGCATAATTTATTCAAACATGTGTATATACAATTAACAACTAAATTACTCGAACCCTTACCAATTTTTTAAATTTTTTAAGGATGTGAAAAATTGATTTGTCCTGATTTATGTTTCTTGAGAATGTAAGATATTAAAAGATTACATTAAAAAGTAATCAACAAAGGCCCTAATTAAGCCAGTCCATCTTCATTCTTGAGTTACAAAGACATCAAATTTACAAGGGAAATGAATAATTTAGTTGTTAACTGCATATTTCACCTATATTGATCTGTGTATGTGTGTTTTCATTCAAGTACAGTATTCTTGAACTTTTTTAAAGTTGCTATTAAGCCCGTCTGTACTAGTTTGGCCAGGAGGGATGAGAGACCACCCTCTGACAGGTGGTTATCTCATCAACTCAGCTCTCAATTAACATAAGAAAAAGAGGATCATGGGGAACCAACAGGCCCGGTTTAGGCATTGTTTTCTATATAGAGGGAGCAGGTAGCTACAAGGAGTGCAGTGGGGCTTTAAAAGCATGCCATATCTTTACTATAGTGCAAAGTATCTTTAAACAATTAAAATATTTCTATGCATTCTGATGCTACATCTCAATAGAACCATTTTAATGAGTGACGGTTCTAAAAACAGAATCATCAGTAATTGTTAACTTTTTCAGTGCCATACACAATTTACCCACCCATATGATGATGTCAAATGTAGTAGGAGGATTAAAGTTGGAAAAGTAAAGCCTTGATAATAGTTTTCTCTTGTAGATGATGTCAATTTATTTGTATAGTAATGATGTCATATATGGGGTTTTTTTTTTTGTAACTCAAGAATGAAAAGTGGACTAGTTGAATTAGGTCCTTTGTAGTTTCTTGAATACTTTTAAATGTAAGCTTTATTACATCACATTCTCAAGAACTTAGATTGGACAAAATAGCTTTTCCACATACTTAAAGTACAAAGATTGGTAAGGGTATGAATAATTTAGTTAACTGTAATTACCAATAGGCTAATTGCAAGCGTATGGGTGGATATATGCTTTCTGTTGCATTTGTGTTCATCCTCAAATTTAAAACAGAAGCTTTTGTGTGTACACTTTTTCTTATGTTCTGACTCGGATTAAAAAATTATTGAAACCCTAAATCTGGTGCGAGGTATGCTTTAAATGCTTCTGTTTAATGTTCATTTGGATGTAATTCACACATATGCATTATATACATCAAGAATATGTAAAGTGATAATATGTTGTATGTGTAAGTTACACATCTCAAAGTCAGATTTTCCTTGGAGTGGCATAGACACACATTAATACATGTAGAGGGGGATGCGCCATTCCAGGCCTGGGGAGTGTTTCACAAAGACTAAGATCGACTTTAAGTTGGACTTAACTATGGCATGCTGTTCATGCCACTGTTTGCTCTCACCATTATGATCTTTAGATGATTTTTTCCTTCAATAATGAATTATCAAAAGATGTAGATTTGTGACCATGATTTGTACGTCCCTTGAGAGACCAATGCCAGTAAATGGTAATAATAATAATAATAATAATAATATGTTTTGTTTACCCAGGGTAGCCTCATTAGTATTCATACTGTTCTCCCTGAAGGCCCTGTAATCATATTATTACCCCGGTCATCGGATTCAGGCATGAACAGCCTGCCATAGTTAAGTCCAAACTTAAAGTCGATCTTGGTTTTTGTGAAACACCCCCCTGGTTTTCCAAATTAAATATACCATGCATGCATACATGTATCTCTGTCATTATTCAGCATCCTTCTACACTTATACTCGGTGTAAAAATAACTTCTTAACGCTTTTTATAAAAGTAAAAAATATGAAATGAGATGAATTACATGATATACCATCAAAATTTATTCCATAATCATATATAGATTTTCAATATACATAAAAAAACATTTGAAACATAATTTGTTTTCCCTCTGATTAGTACATGTATCACAATTTCCATGAAAATATCAAACACATCTCAACAAATCATGAATTTCCAGTCTTCTCAAACAATATATATTTTCTCACATTCCTGCCTCAGACATAATGGAGTGGTGAAGTGTGACATTTATTTTTGGAATTTCTCGATTTGTTCTTCATTTTCCGAAAGAGCGTCAAAAATAATGTCCAAATGTCGAAAACCAATTGACTATGTTAAGTATTGGCTGAGATATGACCATCTGAATGAATAGATTTTCTATAGGATTTCCTATACTGCTCTGGTTCATAACATTATGAGCCAGAGCATTAGTCTTTCCCATCGCTACCTACTGAAAGGACTATTATCTTCGAGTGTTGAGAACAAATACCCAATGAAGGCATGGTCCAATACAAAAGTTGAGTCTGATAATCGACTCTTTATATACCTTTGATCCTACAGTGTCATTTGGTGACTTCTATCCAACAAAACACATACTCAATAGTTGATATATACAGTTAGAATAATTCTAAGGAGTCTGTGACTAGTTGATACTTAAACAAGTTTGGTCAAAAGCTTGATACTAATAAGGGTCACATGCACATGAGCACCCCATTTTCAACTCCAGGGGGGTGTTTCACAAAGATCCTAAGTCAAACTTAACTCTAAGTTGGACTTTAAAATTATGGAGAGCTATCTGTAGCCTTAAAATGAAATATATTCAACAGCGAAAAATCAAATATTTAGACTTTTTATAAATTCCACATCAAGAACATAAAATCTCCTTGAAAATAGAAAATATGAATGACTTGAATCAATATTTTATGCATTTTAAAATAACTTTTACAAAATATTTTCAAAGATGCTAACAGCTTTCGATAATTGTTAAGTCCAGCTTAGAGATAAGCTCAACCTTCGGATCTTTGTGAAACACAGACTATAAACTCAATCAATCTGCATCCCCTTATGAAGAAAGATGGTGTAACTTAAAGCCCTGAACAGTCTCTGTATGGTTGTCTGAATTATTATCTTTGAAATCACATCTATATTCACATAACTTTACAAAGTACCAGTACACAGGGCTAACTGCTTCTAAAGGTACCTCACACACACACACAAATTATCTCTTGGAGACTGCGATAACATGTTTCTATACTCTACAGACACGCTCTTCAACATTATGTTGAATATATATCCAAAATGCAATAATTTGCATCTTGCAGACACCATAGAATGACATAATACTTATGAAAGTTTGCAGTCTTTTTGAAGCATCATGTTGAGTCTATATGATCTGAGGGATCATAACTTTGGAGCAGACTCCACAGTATCACTCAAGACGAGTAAAGCTTTGCAAATTTGGGGGACCTTGCGTGAGGTATGATGTTGACGCTATATCCTCGGTGGAACCATACGCTTCTTGTAGACACCATAATACCACATCAGACTAGTGAACAAAGACAAACTGTACCTGTAGATACAAGAGATGCAAATGTCTTTGCATTAAAACCAATTTCTGAGTATAGTTTGGGGGGTTATTTTCACCTAAACTTTAATAGTTATGTATGGTCTGTCCTATTGTATGGAGCAGAAACATGGACAATAAGCAAGGCCGTGGAAAATAGAATAACATCTTTTCAAATGTGGATTTACAGAAGAATGATGAAAATATCCTGGAAATGAATGAAAATCAACAAAGAGATATTGCACCATATATATATGAAACTATGAGGGCCCCGGGGGTGTTACGCATGACTTTACGAATGACTTGAATATGAAGAGCTAAATAGGATACTCAAATCCATTTAATTGCATAAGCTAAAGTTGAAATGTTAATCTTATCGTTATTAACAAAACATTCTAATGCAAAGTGTATTTTTGGCTACAATGTGATTTTGGGAAATACAGTCACACTTTGTTAAAACATCAGGAAAAACTTTGGGCATCCCATTTGGCTCTTCATATTCAAATCATTTGTAAAGTTATTCATAACTTTGCGCACAGTTTTATGAAACACCCCCCTGGATGGACAGGAGCGATGTATCTCTTCTTACCATGTCAAGATGTACTGCATGTGTTCATTCCTAAGGCTGATTCTAGTTTGTCCTCCTACGGGTCCTCCAGGCACTGTGCTACCTGTAGCAGGACAAGTAGGAAACACAAAGACGTAACTCCATATTTTGCCAAAATGAGTATTTGATATCAAAATGTTCAGAAAAATGTGAGCTTTCAAGGAAACACAAAGACTTAACTCCACCCAACACCCCATTAAAGAAAAAGGCTTGTTGAAGATTACCCCATAATAAACAATGCAGAATAGAATGAGGAATAATGCAATGTTAATGAGTAAATTCTACATATGTGATAAAACCAAGGATGGAAAGCAAGAGAAGATAATGAAATATTGTATAGCAATTTAGTTCATTAAACATTGTGGCTCATATCTTCAAGGAGATGTCGTTTACATAATTGTTGAAATTGTTTTAATGTCCTGCTATTCTTAAATTTTTATGGTAGGTTATTCCAGAAAATCAGGCCATTATTTAACATTGGTACATCATTATTTCTGGGAATGGCAAAAAACTGTAAAGTTTATTTAAATTGAGTTTACAATACCTCTATCAGCGTCGATCATTATAGGCAGGGTTTTAGCCACTCTAGACATAGCCTCAAGATCACGATAGTGCCATCTGTTCTTCACTTCATCGTTGTTTGGCATGAACTGAGCCCTCTACAGGTAGAAAGTGGACAAGGGTTAAACTCATAGGCCAGAATTCACAAAGGAGGTTTAAATTTAACCCACGGTTTAATCAACCATGGGTTATTTAGCCTAGGCTAAATCTAACCCACAGTTTATACCTCGCTCAGTATTCACAAAGCGAGGTTTAAATAACGCATAGTCTAAGCTCTGCGTTATGTCGTCATATGACGCGTTAAACCATGGGTTAAATCTAAACCTCCTTTGTGAATTCGAACCATATTGAACCATCAGGCATACAGGGGTACTGTCTTTCCATTATACAATGAAGATCACTTCAATTTAACTGCAGAATTTGTATTTGGGAATATGCATAACTCACTCAAATATAATTGTTTTTGTTTAGAGTAGCATTACTTTAAAAAAAAAGGAACTTTAGGTACTCTACTGAATTCTAATGGAAACAAATCTACTACTTTCCACAGAATTTTAATAAAATGGCTGAAATATTTGTCCACTGCTTTATTGCCAATGTTGACCAATAAAAAAAGCTGTTCCTTTAATTCGCAATATGAGTATTTGCAAAAACAGATCCTCAAACAGATCCTCAGAGTCTCAAACAGATTCCCAAACAGATCCTCAAACAGATCCTCAGAGTCTCAAACAGATTCCCAAACAGATCCTCAAACAGATTTTCAAACAGAGTCTCAAACAGATTCTCAAACAGAGTCTCAAACAGATCCTCAAACAGAGTCTCAACAGATCCTCAAACAGATTCTCAAACAGAGTCTCAAACAGATCCTCAAACAGAGTCTCAAACAGAGTCTCAAACAGATTCTCAAACAGATTCTCAAACAGAGTCTCAAACAGATTCTCAAACAGAGTCTCAAACAGATCCTCAAACAGAGTCTCAAACAGATCCTCAAACAGATCCTCAAACAGATCCTCAAACAGAGTCTCAAACAGATCCTCAAACAGATCCTCAAACAGATTCTCAAACAGATCCTCAAACAGATTCTCAAACAAAGCCTCAAACAGAGTCTCAAACAGATCCTCAAACAGATTCTCAAACAGATTCTCAAATAGATTCTCAAACAGATCCTCAAACAGATCCTCAAACAGATCCTCAAACAGATCCTCAAACAGATTCTCAAACAGATCCTCAAATAGATTCTCAAACAGATCCTCAAACAGAGTCTCAAACAGATTCTCAAACAGATTCTCAAACAGAGTCTCAAGCAGAGTCTGAAACAGATTCTCAAACATAATCATCAATAACTATGGGAAGTAGATTTTATTTGTTCAATATTTCGGTTGATAAAATTGTATCCTTCATTTGAGATCTAAAATGGTCCTGTGGTTGCTGACCTTCTCAATACAAAGAGGTTCATGATTCTATACATTATTAGTGAATTTCTGAAATGAGATATTTACCTTTTCTGTTAACCTGACACAACCAACTAAGTCAACTTCACCCGTTTGCTGCATGGGAGATAAATATCAAAGAGATAAATATCAAAGACAAAGTACATCAAAAGTTTCACAGATGATCAGGAAAAGACAAAATGTGACAGGTTCTCTCCTTTTCTCTTTTTTTCCAGTCAGAAATACACCTTCCATTAGCATATTCAACATTATATTTTGTCCAGAATGAAATCATTCAAAATTGTGTTTGATTTCATTACACATTTCCAGAAATATCTCAAAAAGAGGCACTGTAGAATATCTTATTCAAAGAATGAGAAATAACCGCAAATAATGATTGATATAACAAGCTTGAGGTGAAAAAGGAAAGAGGAAGAGAAATTGAGTGAGAGATTGAAAGAGAGAGAGATTGAGAGAGAGAGAGAGAGAGAGAGAGAAAGAGAGAGAGAGAGAGGGGGGGGGGGGGGAGAGAGAGAGAGAGAAAGATGGGGGGTGAAGAAATATAGATATATATCAAACAAAACAAAAAAGAACATTTAAGGTAAAAATAAATAGTTGCTTATTCTTCTACCACAATGCCAATATTATAGAATATTATTTCCTCTATGAGAAAGCCACTCAATGCTAACACCTGTCTACATTTCACTATCAGTTATTGTATCAGTGATATGCAGAGATTAACAAATACACTTAAAGGTATAGACCAGTTTTGGAAACGCCCCCCTCTCAAAAAAATGAAAATGGAAGCTCGTATTACCAATCATGTGAAAGAATATGTTTTGACTAATGCATGATGATACAAATTTTGCCAGGCAACCGCCTACTAATTAATATATTTGGTAAATTATCATATCTATCCGGCCGGGATAGATATCGCATAGTCCCATATACATCTTTCTGTGTACAGTGCTTGTAACTTTACCAAGACTGGGCCAAATTTCTTATCATTTTGATGATTCCAGAACCTTGCAGTACACACCAATACTTTTATGCTATAGATGATCAACCTTTTCTGATCGATTCCACACCGTTTCATTCACAATGTAATCGCATGACCAGAACTCAACTTCATCTTTAAGCTGTCCTCAAACTTTTAAAAATACAAGAGTAACAAAGAACACACCTGTCCCGAGAGTCTTTTCTGTGGATCCTGGCTTTTCCTTGTAACCCAGCCTCTGTTCACCAGAATATCAACACTGAAATCAATGTAGAAACATATTCACTGTTTTAATCACTTAAACATTAATTTTGAGCTGTAATCAACCTAACATCCAGGACCCTGTTTCATAAAACTTGATATCAATAACAAGTTACAAGCTAATGTTATAAGCTACTGAAATCATGGCATCTGATTGGCTGAGAGCAAATTTGTCATAGAAATTTAGCATTTGTTATTGATAACAAGTTTTATGAAACGGGCCCTAGCTGTACCAACAGATAGAACCCCTTGGCATATACTCTGATGATCTCAGTAACTCAGTTTGTTAATCTGTTAGAGACTATTAGTTTATTATTTCTAACCTTTCAACCATACTTAAATGACCTTCAAATGACCTTTATATATGGACTAACTGCTTGCATATTTGGGGGCCTGTTCCTGGGCCTCCAATCATGCTTTGAGCCCTTTTTATTGACCAAATAATAGTAATTATTATATTCTGCTTGCGTATAGAACATATTGCATCCAGAAATGTGCCGTTGCATTAAAAACAAAAAGGTTTGATTACTAACCCAGCTCTGGTCTATCTGCCCTGGGGAGTGTTTCATAAAGCTGTTCGTAGTGCCAGATAGGATGCCCAAAGTTTTTTCTGTTATTTTCAATAACCTCAATTAAACTATGGCAAAAAATATACTTTTCATTAAAAATGTTTGTTACCATAAGAATGTTGATCTACATCTGCACAGTTCAACTTTAGTTGATGTATTTAATCATGATTGAGCATCCCATTTGGCTTTTCATATACAAGTCGTAACTTTACAAACAGCTTTATGAATGAAACAGCCCCCTTATAAAGCCCACTCAAGGAATTTCTTCCAACCGGTATAACTATTAACCCATTGTCTATGGGAACAGGGTGGTCCCTGTGTTAAAGTTTATTGGAATGCAACAGTTCAGTAATCAACGGGTTGACCACACTTGCAGAGCTGCCAACCATTCTGTTTTTGCCAGAATTACTCTGTTTTTTCCTCCAAATTACGGTAGTACATTTTTTCTTCATAAAATATTTTTTTTTTTTTTTTAATTTTTTTTTTTACATAGACTAGTCTAGGCCTTTCACACAAACAACTGCCCAAAAATGTTGATTTAATCACAAATTCAAAACTAAGTTTAAAATATACTTGAAAACAAACTTGAAAACATACTAGAAGAGAAAAATATTCTCAAAAAGAATGACATGCCAATAATACCAACAACAACAAAACCCAAAATACCTGCTTGTATGGAAAAAACAGCATAAGGAATGGACATTTCTGTATTGGGAGTCTGCAGCGCGTTGTTGCTAGTTTCGTTTTAACGAAGTCCTTTTTTTTTTGCTTGAAATTCCTTTTTTTGGTCGCACAAGGTTGGCAGCTCTGCAGTTCTTGGGTAGTGTGGCATATGTGGATTTATGTCTTGTCAAAGTATGTGACAGGGATTTGAACCCCATCACTTGTGATCCAGTCAAGCAACTTATCTTAAAGACTTTGTCTCTGTCTTTGTCTCTCCTTCCCCCCCCCCCCTTTCTCTCTCTCTCTCTCTCTCCCTTGCTCGTTCACTGAATTTACCTCTGATGATTTGTTTTATGATGTTAAAGGAGCTTGTGATTTGACTAAATTGTATTTTTTTTCTCATAATTTCTGATATTTAAAATACTAAGTGTGATTGTTATTTACAGTTATTTACACATTTGTATTCTTGTTATTACGCATTATTTACATGTTAGTATTCTTGTTATTTAATATGAATTATATTTGTTTTGTTTATGTATATTGTGTGAATGGTTTTTAACAGACTTGCTGAAAAAAAGCTTTATGGCTGATAGCAGGTGTTTTAACCATGGTTAAATAGATAAATAAAACAAACACTGGCTTGCTACTATGTTGCAGTCCTCTTCTTTTCTCTTTCTCTAAGCTCTCTATCCTCCTCTTCTCTTTGCCTATCCCTTTCTTCAATTTATAATGTATAAATGTATTTGTGTATTCGGGCATACCCATTACAAGCTCTGCTTACCGGGTTTCGCGCCTTCTTCCTTGTAATACAAGTTTTTTAATTATATTAATGTTCCTACGTATAAATTGTATTGTTTAAACAGCTATCAAATATGAATTTGAAATTGAATGGAAGAAAATAAATGTTCATTGGAATTGAATTGAATTGAACACCTATAAATAAAGAATAGGAAAAGGCATACTAAATGCTCACCCTAGGTCTGAGCAGTGGAATGGAGTGACGACATGGACACCCGTCTGTCCGCCGGCCATCATGCTACCTGAATGACCACCTTCATCGGCTTGCAAGAGACTCCTTGGAAGGATGTACATCTCTCTACTGTGATCAAATGAACCACGCACTCTGACCTTCTTGTATTCCAGCTCATTTAGTTCCGAGGCTCTATTAAAGGAAGACATTCAATTCATATTTATTTCATTTCCAACAGAAAGATAAACAAAGGTTTTAATAATAATAATAATAATATTGGATTCTTATATAGCGCACGTATCGACCTTGCAAAGATAAACAAAGGTATTACATTTTTTCAAACATTAATTCAGTGGGATAGCTTGTTTCTTGAATCCGATCTTGATCATATAACAAGTTATTTGAATATCATACAAAACATCTAGACATAATGTTTAAACGCAATACTTTCCTACAGATGTTCATTAACAGAATTCTTCAAATGATCAGTTTTATAGGTCAAGCACTTGACAAGCAGTCTCTATATAACCAGCCGTTTTGGTCCTTTCATTTACTCAAGAGCATTTTTGCTTCATTGCCAACATACCCCAACCAATCCAGGTTGTCCTTGTACTAAGCCTATTTTGTAGTCATAGGGTTCATGCATATGTACTTGGGCAAGTGTAACCCTTTTGGGTAATTTTGTGATCCATACATTATCAAGTACAATGGAATAGTGAATGTATAATTTGACATTCTTGGTGTAATAAAAACCAACCTTGAAACAGCCTACTTTTATGACCTCTGAATAAAATACATTGCTGATATATATATTTCCAAAATAAATATAATATCTAGGGATGCACGTAGTATACTTTAGAGAAGAGAGAGGGAGGGAGGGAGGGAGGGAGGGAGGGAGGGAGAGGAAGGGAGGGAGGGAGGGAGGGAGGGAGGGAGAGAGAGAGAGAGAGAGAGAGAGAGAGAGAGAGAGGGAGAGAGAGAGAGAGAGAGAGAGAGAGAGCATGACAATAACACATAAGAAAAGGAAAAGAATGATAAGAAGGAAGAGAATGATAGATTAGTTGATTACAAAAGAGATGAAGACTGAAGGATGAAGAGGGGAAGGATGGTACAGTAAAAGAAGGCAAGACAAAAGAGCGAAAAGTTGTGACGGAGAGAAAAAGTAGAAGTAACAAAATAATATCATGAATAAAGTGGAGCTCACTCTAGAGGCAAAGGAACAGGAGGAGCATTAGATCTCTCTTGTAGATCCTTGATGAGGCCCAGTTTCCATTTGCGTCTCTGAACCTGCCAGGTGCCAAGACCAAAAGCTGCAACTGGTATGACAAGCAGGAGATTGCTCATGAGTGATGATCCTCCTTCTTCATTTGCCTGGGTAGAGCTGAGCCGTTGACCGAGAGGTGGCTTTTGCGAAAGAACATTCTTTAAAACAAGCATCCTCTGTAGAGAATTTCAAACAATTGCACATGTTAATGTTAATGTTAGTCAGTGTTAATCCTTCAAAATGATCAGAATACCAAAGACAAAAATTACCCAGTACAGCAATAGAATAGCATAGATATAATTACTGCTGTTGTTGTTGTTGGTAAATGTTTTATGGCGTTCATTCAGTATTGAATATATATGCCATAAGTATCTTCAATTTTATAAGAAAATCAGTTATAGACTAGTCTTCAAAAGAAAACTGAGAATAAAGATTTGTAATGAAATAATTAATTAATAAGTAACGCAATTTATTAGGAGTTACTGCTGTGCCTGTACTGGTTGTTTTATAGGCTCAAGAGGATGTTGCATTCTGATATCACCCGAGGCATGCCAAGGGGTGATGGCAAGATGCAACGTCCCCCGAGTGGATGATCCTTATTCTCGGACAAGGGCCCTATTTGCACGAAAGAAACTAACTCTAGTAGGGAGGCCAATGCCCGGGCGTAAGGCTTCTACACCTACGATTTGTGCGCTCGTCGCCCACTTCAAAAAATTAGCAAAGGGAAAAAAATGATGTAAAAATAAAAATTGAAGAAAATATGAAAAGAAAATACAATTATACATTTCACAACATACCTATAATCACGGATCTGTAACAGTCTTTCACCATTTGTTGACAATCTTGCAGATTTTGACGTTTTTTAATCCAATAATTGTGGTTGCAGACGACCTTGACGCACTCGCACCACCGACTAAGAAAATCCTAGAGGGCGTAGAGGTTTGCTCACTAAAAACCTTCTCATTGGCAGAAGGTAGACCCTAAAAATATGGGATCCGTTTTGAGTAAAGAACTTTTGATAGAGATCAACATTTCAGATGTTCACAATTGCCACTTCTAACAACTAGAAAATATAAAGAAAAAAGATTATATCTTTTTAAATACAGATTTTTACAAACTGAACATTCGAAAGTAGATAGAGTACGATGTTTCTGTCAATCTTGCGTTGGTTTGAGCCCTATAGCTACATCCATCTCAAAATGAGAAGGAAAACAGTGAACAGTGACGTCATTGTTCGCGCCAAAAATAAAGGGTATTGCGACATAATCTGAGCTCCGGTCAGATCGTGCGCAAAGCGTAGTCTTATTTATAGACCCTATAGTACCTTATTCTCACAGCACTAGATACGAGTGTCGTGCAGTAATGTATGAGAAGTGTTAAAAAAGATATTTCAGTAAAAAAAAAAGTCTACGTGAGCAGTCTATACTCCAATTGAGAATTGAAATGAAAGCCATGATTTGAAGGTGTGTGTTGTATGATACATGGTTAGTGAGTGTGTATGTTACGTATAGCGAAAGGGAGAGAGAGAGAGAGAGAGAGTGGGAGAAATATTAGTACACGTACGTTGCATGCATGGATGTGCGCTATGATTGTGTTCGCTGCAAGATGGATTTTAATTGGACCTCGTAACTTCTCGATCGTTGATAATAAGGAATACTCATGAGGAAATCAAATTATTGGAATACACATCTAAGGTAAATATCAATGAATTATATATATTTCTTTCCTTTTTTGAACCATCGTCTTCGGCTCGTAGTAGTAGAAGATGTAATCGTTCGCACATTGTCATTGATGGCTGGACTTCAGCCTGCATCGGGGCTTGCCTGTGTCGGTGGAGGGATCAACTAAGAAGAAGAAGGTGTGTACGTGTGCGACCGATTCAAGGCTAGCCGCTGTTGAGTGATTGCACTTTCGCGCGAAGTTTTAAACTTCATCATGAACTTTGTCCCTCGGGCCTGTCTAATTATGAACGTAACTTTGCGACATGAAATATAATTGTTTCAAGGCTCTTACGTACGGAAAGGCGTAGAAGGAAATGGCTACAAACCAGCTGGATATCTCCTATTTGATGGAACCTATGGAGTCGGCAGATGGGTGGATTTTCTTAGTGAAAGTAAATGCTTTCTTTTAATCTTAGTTTTAGTATAAACAAATTAGTAATTAAAAAGTTAGATTTGGGCATTGGCCTCCCTAACTCTAGTTTGACTCGTCCACAATTATACAGTATTACAGAGATAATATTGAGCTAGCAAAGATGTATTAATAGTGAAATAGTCTAGCCGTCACCAGAGAATTTATCGAAAGACTTCCGTAATGATCGTAATCTGCATTCTGAATTTGAGTTTGGCTGAACTAGAACCACGAACACTTTCCGACATTAGGCCTACACCAAAAGTAACATATGGGACAATGCTATCGAAATTACGTAATATTAACATACTGCATAACCTATCTAGAAATTCCTTTAAACATATGATTTTACCTGGAACAAATACGTTCTAGTAGCCGAATTCATCCCTCTCACTCTGAATCTATTCATCATGACGCTTCAGTCGTACTTCAATAAACAAAGGGGAAGCTTTTTCAGTTACCGAACAATAAAAATGCAGGTGAATGTAGACGAAAAAATATACCAATCACAAATTTGAATGCCGATTTGAAGATTGCAACAGTTGGAGAAAAGGAATATAAGTCCAACTAACAAAGCAAATAAAGACCATATAGGGCCTATACAAACAATGAACAGCAATGCATGCACTTCATTTTTATATATTTTGATTTAGATTGTTAAGTTCCAATCAGAGATATAATGTTCTCCACCAAAGAAAAAATTAAATCTTTGTGTCATTGAGCTGGTGCTCAGTTATTTTGTTTTTCAGATCCAATCATCCACCCATCAATCAGGCCTAAAATAAAAACTTGTTGCATTGCCCTTTAGGTGCCAAAACATGGGTCGGTCGGTCGGAAATTTTTTGTGTTTTTTTACTTTTTTTTTTGTCGCACTCTAGCTTGGGCCGATATTTTTCAGTTTTAAATGTTTTTTTGTTGTTTTCCCGCCCTCTTTGGCTGATATTTCTCAGTTTGTATTCCTTTAATACATGTGTTTCGAGTCATCATTTCATTCATATCTTTTTCACCTCATAATAATCCATGGTTTGCAATGTTGTGTTGAGACAATTACACTCTGTGCTTTCCTGCTAACGAAGTTGGTTTTCAACTACCTGTAAAGCTTGCTAGCAATGTGAAGATTGTTTGGAATAATTTGATTTTATGCATTTATATCAAAGTCAAACAAAATACATATTTTTTTATTCATTAATACAACAAATTCTAAAAAACGGTTGAAAAAAAAAACTTTTTTAAAATGCCGACCGCGTATATATTTTCAGATTTTTGGGACGGTCGCAAAGGGCAATGCAACAAGTTTTTATTTTAGGCCTCATCATCATCATCATCATCAACCTTTCTGACCATAAACTAACTACTCTGTCAATATGTATCAAATAAAATTATGCTGATTATTTATCTATTATAAAATGGAATATTCACATAGCAATGTAAAACTAACTAGCCAGGGATCATTATTTCATGTTTCATATCAAATCAAATTATTTATATCAGGCCGATTTCGTGCATTAAAAATAATTGTATTTTATAAAGATAGTTTTAGGCCTAGACCTCCAAAAGTGATATGTTTTAGTAAATTCAAATGTTTGAAATATACACATCTACGTCGGCATAAATTTTGAATTTAATTCTCTTCTTTGCTTGGCAACGCATAGTCTATCTATATCAAGCATCTAACTTCTTCTTGACATGTCTTGAGCATTTTTCTGTACAAAAATTGCATTTTTCTTTTCAATTTAGCGTTAATCTTAGAATCAACTTAATTGAAATCATGTTTGCAGATACTTTACTCATCATTTTTATTTCGGTCGGCACAGCATTGCTGTCAGAAGGTTCGTACAAACAATTTAAATACACGTTTTTTTGTGACGTGTCAGTGCGTGTGTGTCTGTGTAGTGCACCAGGAGTCAGTCCCATACATTCATTCTGAGGCGGGTTTATAGGGCTAGGGGTGTGGTAACTCGACCTCGATCTTGATGGGGATAGATCATCATAGATGGTGATTGGTGATGATGGTCGTGGTCGAAGTGGTAAAGGAGGCGGTGATGATGATGATATGGTGCATGATGTCAGTGATGATTGATGTCTAGACTCGAGTGACGTGAGTCGAGATCAAGTGCAAGTCAAGTCAAATCAATGAACAGGACTAGGAGTCTAGGACTAGGGTCTAGATCTAATGTAAAAATAGAAATATTCACAGTACTTGGTTGGGTAATCCCTTTGGCAGCTCACTCAGGAAGCTATACTGGGATGGTAGGTGAGGCAAGTGACTACAAGGAGTGTCATGAATTGCTGGAATGGTGTGTGGACAAAGCACTTGTCAATTTACAGTAAAATATGCTAAGTCCAGTGCAAGTAAAAACCAAGCTAGTAAGCTTATATGATGTGAGAACCAACGGGGGGCTGCATCATTCTGATGGAGGGTAGAGCAGCCTCCTTGAAGTTGGTTATTCCTGTTGCATTGACTGTAGAGCCTGGCAGATGGTTCCAGATCCTTATTGCTCTTGGGTAGTATGAGAACTTGAAGGAGTCGATAGTTGCAACAGGAATTACATACTTCAGGTTGTGGTCATGTCTTCTATGGGGAATTATTAATATGGACCGCACGCATGTGCGTGCGTTGGATGGCGTTCCATACTTGATTAGCACGTACATGCGTGCGTCCTATATAAGCAGGTTATCCGCACACCGTCGGGGCAGAATTACCAGTAACGAGATAACAGAAGTATAGACTACGCATCGGAGTGCACTACAAGCAACGGAGATCATCACAGCAACCAGCAAAGGACAGCATCGACGGATTCTGACATATAGTGACGACTCTGGTGAGTAGATTTTACTTTAGTGGCGCTGCGAGACTTCGTTCCTGCGCTATTTAATTGACGAATTATCGTTGATATTTGTATTATTGAGTGTGTGACTTGATTCTTGTATTGTGTACGTTAGTTTGTGGTTGACATGTGCGTGCCGTATTATGGCTTGTACATGTGTACGGCGTAATCACGGACAAGTTCGTGGATCCGCCGAGCTAGTATATAACAGGTTAGTATTATTGCTTGTTATTTTTGCTTTTGATTGATTGGAGGTTATATTTTTAGGTTTTTTTCCGTGGAGTGGTGGTTTGAAGGCAGTTTTCTTCGCGATTTTTTAATTTTGGGTGTGGCAGGGGACGCTACGTCGGCACGCCCTAGACGCTGTTATTGCATTCTTTCTTTTGTGTACTGCGCCCAGGCTCGCACCCTATGGTAGCTTATTGTTATACTGGGGTGGAGTTTTTTCGGGTGCGTACCTTGTATGAGTGATTGTTTGAGGCTGGGTTTATCCCTTCATTTACCTTGGCTTTGGCGTATTATCTTTGATATTTTTGATTGTTTGGGAGTGAAAGTATTTGCTTGGTGTGATTTAGGGTTCATTCACCTCTTGTTGAAATTGTATTTTCCACCCAATTTCGGAGTGCCGATTTTTTGTGAGTGGGGAGGGAGAGTGAACCACAGTGGTTTGTTATTGCATTGCTGCTGGAATTAAATCATCGCTAATTTAATAAATCATCGCTAATTTAATTAATCATCGCTAATTTAATTAATCATTTTTTGAATTAGAGTTGCCCTCTTACAATTAATCAGTTTGGAAGCAGAGTTGCCCTCTTACAATTTTAAGTAACGGGCTTCTCGCTCCGAATGATTTATTGGGTTCAATGATTATCGGCAAGGGCATATAATTAAATATACTGTTAGGGTTTATATTTTATAAATCGTAGTTTAAGTTACTGTAGTGAATACAAATATATATTTAAAAATACAAGTTTATTAAGCTGTTGAATTGGGTCTGAATGTTAAAGCAGTGACATAGTGACCTAATCAACGGCTGTGAATATTGTGTTTGAATATATTGTATTTAAATTTATTGATAGGAAGTTAATTAATTTATTAATCGTAGGGTAAGTTACTCCGCCAAAGATATATTGCGGGGACATACAAATATCTTTAAAAGAATACAAATTCATTTAAGCGGTTGAATTTAGTCTGAGTGTCCACAGCCAGGGACATAGGGACTTTATCAGCGGCCTTGAATATTGTGTTTGAATATTTGGGTTTGAATTTGAATTATTTGAGGACAAGTCTCCTTCTTTGAATTAAATTCTGTACTTGAATGTTTGAATGTTTGAATGTTTGAGTGTGAATTTGGATTGAAATTATTTGGGTTTGTTTATCAGGAAAAGTCTCCGTTTGTAAATTAACATTCTGTATAACAGAATAGTGAAGAATTGTTCGTTTGATTGAACAATTCTCACGTAATATTTGTATAGTAAGTTAGTAAAGAGTTGTTTGGTTGATTGAGCAATTCTTGTGAAATATTGTAATACTAGGTTAGTAAAGAATTGCTTGTTTGATTGAGCAATTCTTGCGCAGTATTGTAATACTAAGTTAGTAAAGAATTGTTTGTTTGATTGAGCAATTCTTGCGCAATATTGTAATACTAAGTTAGTAAAGGATTGTTCGCTTGATTGAGCAATTCTTGCGCAATATTTGTATACTAAGTTAGTAAAGAATTGTTCGCTTGATTGAACAATTTTTGTGTAACATTTTAATACTAAGTTAGTAAAGAATTGTTCGCCTGATTGAACAATTCTAGCGCAATATTGTAGTACTTAGTCAGTTTTTTAAGGTTGGTACGTAAGTTAGTTGTATTGTATCATGCCGAAGATACAAATTAATTTTTGTAAGGTAGAAGAGCTGTTGCAGGTTCCCGGCATCGGCAGGACTTTAGCCGACCGGATTCTGGCTCTTCGAGAGGCGAGTGACATCACCGCAGAGTCGCTTGTAGAGATTCCTCATATAAGGAACCCCTCTGAGATTATCGAGCACTTCGATTTTGCGCCTTTTACGGAGAGATTGAGCGTTAGTGGTGAGCGGTCTCCTTCTAGGGATACTCCCACACCCGAAGCCAGTCGGCCACCTTCTCCGTATCCGTTTGATGCGTATCCTAAGGATGCGTTACCAGCTCACATTGTGAACCCGACGGAAGGGGAGGGAAGCCAGTCAAAGGTGACTGAGGACAACCCAAGGGAGAAGGCGAAAGCTATTGACCGCGAGACCTCTCCACAACATAAGGCTGTTAGTTTCGATTCGCCCAAGAAGTATAAGTCTTCGACTCGGGAGAGGGTTTCTCCGGTTTCTTCACCGGATCGCAAGGATCGCAAGGACTCTCGGAGAGATTATGATGACGAGGGTCTCTATTCAGATTCTCCCCCTCGAAGGTCGCGGCAGGGCCGTGACCAGTACGAAAGTAGGGGCGAGACAGATCGCAGAGGGAGTCGCCATGACTCCCCTCGATCAGATCGCAGAAGGAGCCGCCATGACTCCCCTCAATCAGATCGCAGAGGGAGCCGCTATGATTCCCCTCGATCAGATCGCAGAGGGAGCCGCCATGACTCCCCTCAATCAGATCGCAGAGGGAGCCGCTATGATTCCCCGCGATCGGAGCGTGGGGGGAGTCGCCGTGATTCCCCTCGATCGGAGCGTAGAGGGAGTCGCCGTGACTCCCCTCGATCGGATCGCAGAGGGAGCCGCTATGATTCCCCTCGATCAGATCGCAGGGGAAGTCGCCATCACTCCCCTCGATCGGATCGCCGAGGGAGTCGCCATGATTCCCCTCGATCCGCTCGCAGAGGGAGGCGTGTCGATTCACCTCAAAACCGGAGGGAAGGCCGGTACGATCATGATAGAGAATCGAGATATCACTATTATGACCAGGATTCCCCTCGAAGTCACCGGAGTGACCGTAGTGAATCTAGAGGCCACCGGCATAGATCTCCTTCCCCATATCGAAGATCCCCCTGTAGGTCGCATGATCTGCCTAGGCGGGATCAGAGAGAGGAGAGTAGCGAGGGTGTAGACTTCGAATTGCCACCCCGTGTGAGAAGGACGGTTTACCATCACTCGCCCAGACCCATGAGAGCGACCATGGATGAAGGGAGGAGCGTAAAACTGGTGTCTCTTCCCAAGTCCATTGCCTTCAATGGGACTGGGAACTGGCAGGCGTTTATCGCCAAATTCAGGCTATACGCCAGCGAGAGTGGTTGGGACTCCAAACAATCTCGCAATTACTTGTCTTGGGCCCTGGATGGGGATGCTAGTATATATGTGGCTACTTTGCTTGAGCGGGAACCCGGCACCACATATGAGGTACTGGTAGGAAAATTGGAGAGGCGTTTCACTTCTCGGGAATTACCTGAAGTGTCTCAAATGCAATTTTCTTATGCCAGGCAGATCCCCGAGGAGGATATCGTTGAGTGGGCTGCCAGGCTATCAACTTTAGCCTCCCAGGCATTTCCCGATTTGCCGGAGCACTACATTCAACGCCAGGTCGTCATGCGTTTTTGCCAGGGTTCCGCGGACAAAGAGGCAGGTCAACATGCCTTGAATTCTCGTCCTAAGACCGTAGAGGAGGCAGTTGATCTGGTCAAGTGGTACCAGCACTCTCATAAGGCCATCTATGGGAAGCCCAGGAAGGAAGTGAGACAAGTCTCACAGTCCATTGAGGCTTCCACTGTCAGAAAATCGATCTTGCCCACAACAACCCCTCCGGCACAAGGCGGTTTGGAAAAGAGGGTTGCTTCTCTGGAGGGCAAGATGGACTCGGTGATTCAACTTGTTGAATCATTGAAGACGTCCCTTGCAGTGATGGGGCCTTTACAGACGACAGTACAGAGTCTGGTTGAGAGTGTGAGAAAATCACAAGCTTCTCCCGCCCGCTTCAGGGGCAGAGCCTCTCCCGCCCAGGGGAATTTCTCACCGGGCCGGAGTATGGCTTGCTACCAGTGCGGGAAATT